ACAAAGTCCAGAGTCCACTGTCTGTACTCTGAGTCGTCCTCACCTGTGATGAGGCAGACTATGGCAGAGTCGTCAGAGAACTTCTGTAGGTGGCAGCGTGGGAAGTTGATGTAAAAGTCTGCAGTGTAGAGGGTGAAGAGAAACGGTGCCAGCACAGTTCCCTGTGGGGCCCCCGTACTGCAGACCAGTAGAGTAGAAAAGCGCTATGTAAGAATCAGTCCATTTATCATGTACTTTCTTCTAATTTGGTTAACTAGTCCAAGTCTGGTTCCCTGAAAGCAAAATATCAGGAAATAAGTTGTGGCTCAAGACTTTTGCACAGCTGTATATACAGAAAATATGTTGCTCAGTTAATGTTAAACAGTCCTAGAACGTGTTACAGGTTTAACTGTGTTCTCACTGATGTGCTGATTACTGAGAATAAATACTGTTATAGGAAAAACAGCACGAAGTATGAGGAAATCCTTAAATGAGGTGAATATACTAAAAAGATTAGAATAAATAATATCTGATAATTTTAATAACATTAGTAAGGCTAATTGTAAAATCATTTATGCCTATGCGGAGCTTCATGTCACATTTCAGTGGGAGTGTCTTTTGTTAAATAACCCAAACTCACATTGTTACAAGAAAACTCTATTTATTTGTTTCAAAACCACTTAAAAAAAATTCCTCCCATTTCAAAGATTAGCACCACTTAGATAGCGCTAGCTAAAGAAAAGAGCTGAAGTAAAAACTGTCTCAGTACGTTAGGCAGGAGGGGATTTACAAAGAGGAAGCTTACCCTGTTTTAATGGCATTACTTTCATTAGTTAAATAATGTTCTGAGATATCAGTTGACTGATCAGTTTATCTGCAGGCTTGGACTGCATTTATTCAGGTGTCACATGATTCAGGTATGTGCAAAATTTTTCCTCAGGAGGCTGTTCGAGTCTTGATCCGCCACTCTGCTGACGTGAACGCGCGGGACAAGAACTGGCAGACGCCGCTGCATGTCGCTGCAGCGAATAACGCGCTGCGATGCGCTGAAATCATCATCCCACTGCTGAGCAGCGTCAACGTGTCCGATCGTGGTGGACGCACTGCTCTCCACCACGCTGCCCTCAACGGCCACACTGAGGTAAAGCAGCCTGGAGCCGTCTTTTTAAGCACTGGAAGTAAATGATCAGCACGTTAGCTGCAGAGTGGGGCCGCATTCGGTTGCACTTAACACTGCAGTTCACAAATAAACAGGCTGTGACGTAACCGTCCTTTGTGCTGTTCTGGTTGAATAGCTTGGTTGAAGGAAACAGGTGGGCGAGTGCAGCTGTGTCACTGGGATTATTAAGTGGGTTGTGCATTTTGAAGCACTCCTCATCTTAGACAGAATCATTCACCAGCGTGCCAGATCTAAAATTAACAATGAGAGGCGGCAGATTTGTGGAGCGGAGCTGAATGGACGGTGCCTTCATTTCTGCTCGATAGGCCGTCCGGTGTGTTTATGCGGCGACTGGGCCGAGAGATGAGATGGATTTACAATGCTGCTATAAAAAGACCCGCCCACTCACACATTCTGTTGCGCACACCTCCCTCTAATATTTCCTTCTCATGTCCTTTCTGTTTATTTGTTAGATGGTAAACCTTCTCCTCACTAAAGGAGCCAACATCAATGCCTTTGATAAAAAGGATGGCCGAGCTCTGCACTGGGCAGCTTTCATGGGTAAGAGACAGAAGTGAAGGTTGTTAAGCACATGTCACAGAGATAAAGGAAATGGAAAACCAGTCCAAACATAACAAAAACCTACCAACAAACAAACAATAACAACAACCTCTAAGGTCTACAAAGACATCAGCGGTTCATCAGAGCAGTGCTTCGGTGAAAAGGACGACCAATCAGCTGAGTGTCAGTATTTCTTATAATCCCCTTTAGGTCACTTGGATGTGGTGTGCCTGCTGGTAAACAAAGGCGCAGAGATCAGCTGCAAAGACAAACGAGGATACACTCCGCTTCACACGGCAGCCTCCAGTGGACAGATTGCCGTCGTCAAACACCTGCTCAACCTGTCTGTTGAGGTCAGGACACATACACCCACGTAAACACACGCTTTTGTCCCTAATTTTCAAACAGTCCACATTGCAAGCAAAAATACATTCAGAAGTTTACTTTCACTTCGAGTGATCCCTCACAGTAGAGAGGATGTTGTGGAGAGTAGTTAGATCCCACTCCAGCTTTTCAAAATGCCATCACTGTACCTCTGCTGTTTCAATGTGAAAACTACCACTAACTAAATAAAAGAGCGAAAAAAAGGATACATGGAGTCAGATTTTCCTTGAATCTAAAAAGAAATCCTCAAAACATTCCTTCTGCGTGTCACTCATACGCCTGATTGTTTACTTCAGAATACCCTACAGAGATAGACAGACAGTCCCTTCTTGAGTGAACAGACCAATCCTAACATGACCAGCATTCATTGCATCGTTCACAAGTTAGAGCCAACTCATTCTTATATACCTCAGAAATCTGCTGCTGACCTCAGTAAGTGAACCATTTCGTTCACTTCTTTTAGCTAGCATATAGCATAAGCATACATTCTATTACTTTTATCTAAACATAAACTATTATCTAACCCAAATATACCCTAAATATTTTTACTAGCTTTATTGCTTTTTAATGGATTTATAACTGATTTGACACGTACTAGTCAAGTTGAGCTGTTTGTGCCGTTTTCCCTTTGCACCTTGAAAGAGACGCCCTGTCATTCATGTTTACCTAGTCTTTATACGTTTCTGTTTTCTCTGACCACAGATAGATGAGCCCAATGCATTTGGAAACACGCCTCTCCACGTGGCCTGTTTCAATGGTCAGGACGCTGTTGTCAGTGAGCTGATTGATTATGGGGCCAATGTCAGCCAGGCCAACAACAAAGGCTTCACTCCGCTGCACTTTGCTGCTGCCTCCACACACGGAGCGCTCTGCCTGGAGTTTCTGGTCAACAATGGGGCCGATGTCAATGTACAGGTACAGAGAAATATAGTTACTGGCAAGACTGGAGCCCAGCTATTATTGTATATCGAGGGTAATGGTGATGTTTATTTTTACTTTTATGGAATAAAAAAATACAGACTTAAAGTTTAGACACATTAAGAGGTGTTTTAGGATCCTGTGGTAAACGAGTGCTGCTGCAATTGAACCTGAAGTTTCTGTATCGACAGTTCGAGTAGTTCAGCTCAGTTCAATTTCATTTTATTTATACAGCGCCAAATCACAATGACAGTCGCCTCAAGGCGCTTTATATTGTAAGGTAGACCCTACAATAATACGTACAGAGAAAAACCCAACAATCATATGACCCCCTATGAGCAAGCACTTTGGCGACAGTGGGAAGGAAAAACTCCCTTTTAACAGGAAGAAACCTCCGGCAGAACCAGGCTCAGGGAGGGGCGGGGCCATCTGCTGCAACTGGTTGGGGTGAGAGAGGGAAGACAGGATAAAGACATGCTGTGGACATGCTAGTTGGTACAACATGCTAAATGCTAAAGCTAAAAACTTTTTTAGTCAATATTTTGGGCTTTCTTCAAAATGATTTTAAAGTGTCGAAATAAATGAACAGTGGCTATTTGCCGATTAATTACATTTTGCAAAGTAAAGCAGAGACAGGAGAAATACCCTTCAGATTCTAGAATGTTGAATGAGAGGATTACAAAATGTAAAAATATTCTAGAAAATACTAAATGTGACCGAAAGAACACCGTCCTCAGAGTCGAGCACAGAAGTGGCAACATTACGCTTTGGGGGTGTTTTTCTGCTAAGGGTGCTCATTGAAAAACACGGAAGTCTGAAGTCCGTGTTTCATTCTAAACCTTTTTTTCTTCTCTATCCACGTTAGAGTCGGGATGGAAAGAGTCCTCTCCACATGACTGCGGTTCACGGACGGTTCACTCGCTCCCAGACCCTCATCCAGAACGGTGAGACTTCTTTATGCTTGTGTTTGTCTCGCGGTGTCTTAAAGCTGCCTTAACTCCACAGGGTCATTATTTTTTTCGCGTTTTGTTTCAGGCGGAGAGATCGACAGTGTGGACAAGGATGGCAACACTCCCCTTCACATTGCTGCTCGCTATGGCCACGAGCTCCTCATCAACACGCTTATCACCAGCGGAGCCGACTGCACCAGGTTTGTTTGTTTATTTGTTGACTTGTTGAGAATTTTATTGGTTACAATGACGTGTTATGCAGATAAAGAGATACCCGTGTCTTTCTCCAAAGGCGAGGAGTCCACGGGATGTTTCCTCTTCACCTGGCTGCCTTGAATGCGCACTCTGACTGCTGCCGGAAGCTGCTGTCGTCAGGTAGCTAACTGGGAAATGGTGCATGATGGATTTAGTTAAACTTAGCTTTGCCTTATTTTCTGCCCTGTAGTGCTACAGTTTCAAAGTTAGTCAAAGCTTGAAATAAAGTAAATGTTTGTAAATGCGAAAAGTTGAGAATGAGGCAATGTAGAAGCTCAAATTGATACCGTAAGTGTGTCTAATAATAATCTCGGACGAGTTTGACCTCAATGTCAGAGGTCATGTTTTCTGAACGTTTTCTGAATGCAATAACACAAGAAGGAAGTCAGCTAGTATTCTGAAATTGATACCTGAGTGGTGACCTTGGTGATTGCCAGTATTTTCTAACATTAGTAACAAAATTTGCTGATTTAAAATTCAAAATTCTGATATATCGTCCTATGATGTTTCTCGTCTTATTGAGGCGTACAAAACATTATATTTGTCTGCCTGACCTGATACGATCAGCTGGCTGTTGTGTTTGTGGGACTTCAAACAGGTGTCGGCAACATGTGGCACATCCTCTGGTGGACAAACTATCCAACTTCAACACTCATAAGTTCCCTGAAGAAGGTTTCTCCCATCTCTTATTTATTAAAAAAATAAATACAGACATTGATAGATTGGCATATAGCTAACATCAGCTGATACATTGGTTGGTCTTTAGCCTGCACTACATGGTCCTTTTTTTCCTGGTGACACAGGAAGCATTCTTTATATGTACTCGTCAGCTACGTCACAGCGTGTCCACAGAGAACAGGAAGTCGAGTTCACAAGCACAGAGTGTAGCTGCTCAGCAAGCGCCTACAAAGCGGAGGAGGGTGAACTGGTTGTTTCTGAAAAAAAATAATAACTAGCTAGCAACAGCTGATGAAAAATGCATGAACGGATGCTATTTTCATTAACAGCATTTTGAATCAATCAAACACAAACAGTGTTTTATGTGCTTTTGTCTAAAAAAGTGAAATTATTTGCTATTGTTTGTTGTTTCAAGGACGCTGAATCAGCATTTCTACGTATGTGCACGTTGCCCTCAGTGAGGGCAACTGAGGACTTCTGTTGTCTTCATTTCATCTAGGAGTGTAACTTCAGTGAGCGTTGAGTCCAGCTGTTGTTCTGCACAGGCACGTTCAGCTCCAGCCAAATTAAGGTCACAATGCTCCTGAAAAGACAAGGCCTCAGTCTCATTACTCATTTTCCCTCCGGACACAGTGCATCCCTGTGAATTCTCCTCTATCAGCAGTTATCTTGTTTACATCAGAAAGTTTCCGTGTTGCTTTGGCCTGTAAAATAATTTTCTTCTCATATCATCTGTTAAACTTTTTTTTTCTGAAAACAGACGAAGAAACTTTGCATTAAACAAAAGTTGGGAAAAGACCCGACTTCTTCGGGCTTCCAGTTAACTTGATGATTTAACAAGGCGCCAGCGCTTGTGTGTGGATGAAACTGGGCTCCTCACATGGCTCTGCTGAGCTGCTGTAGCGAACAACAAAGAAGTCATTTACATGTGTTTGTGTGTTGTGCAGCTGCAGTACTGGGTTTGGTCAGGAGTGCTGTGTTTGCTGCACCCACAGCTAAATCTTGGATTTCAAAATCCTTCATACCGTGGATCTCAAGAGTGATTTCCTGTCAGCTATGCAATTGTAGGTCTAACTCTGATAATCATGTGGATATAAAATCAAATTGTGAAAGAAAGCGTACACGTGTACGTGCAGCCTGTGCCAATCTGAGCCTGGACTCTGTAAGACAGCCAGTTACAAGTTTCAAATATTCTTTAAAGGCCTTTTTGTTCATTTCCACAATTTCTTTCAAATTATGACTTTGCATGGCTTGTTTTGTCTAAAGAATAACATTAAACTGAGCAGTTCGGAGGAGTCCACCGGTTTTAGAGAAAATGCCTTCTCGGAAATGCATCCAAAAATTTACTAGTAATTTCTCCTCCAGGAATAATAACTAGGTTACTCCAAAAAACGTAGTTGTGAGCAGTTTCATGGTGGACGCCATCTTTACTGGGTAACTTTGGTGTTTTCATGGTGCCGTGGTGACTTTAGCACGGGGTGGTGTGCCAAAAGAAATCCCAGTTCCTACATGAAACTACTAAGTAATCACAATGTTTTTTTTTAAAAAGAAATGACTGTTGAGTTTTGTTCAGTTTTTGTGGCGCTTACTTCATTCCATTATATTTAATGCAAAGGCAGAATATGTCTATAGATGAACAATCAGAGTAATCTGATGGATTATTAGCAGACAAAAGGTGAATCCTATAAATGTAAACGAGCTTTACCTCTAAATAAATGTACGTTTCCTCTGATTAAAATGTCCCATGTAAACATTGCAGAACCATAATAATGGATTAATTTGATGATGACTTTATTTATCTGCGTATCTGTAAAAATCCTAATCATCCTACAGTGTCAAACGTCCATTTAATTCAAGCTGTGTTGCGTTGCGCCGTTTGCCTTGTTGCACTTTATCCTGTGAGGCTGTCTGAATGTTTCTCTGACCTGAAGATAAGATGTGTGGCTCTCTCTGTGTGTAACCTGTCCTTGTATTTTCCTCTATGTGCATGATCGTCTGTGTAACCCTCGTTTCCCCACCTGTCACACTAACCCCTGTCTCCCTCTCCACCTCCTTCTCTTCCTCTCTCTCTGTGATGGCTGCTGCTGTCTTGTCTGGCCCTCTTTCGTTTCCCTGCGCTGCTCCCATCAGGTCGGAGGTTTAGCATAATGTGTAACGACTCGGTCCTGTCTGCAGGCTTTCAGATAGACACTCCAGATACGCTGGGGAGGACCTGCCTCCACGCTGCTGCTGCCGGAGGGTGAGTCCATTACTTTCCAGATATGAGAATATAGTCAGTGCAGCAAAAGTCTGAGGAGAAATTGCCAGGTGGAACAAATATGATAAAATCTTCCAGAAATGGAAAATCATTTGTGTTCTGACATCAGCCAGGACATGATAACATTAGCTGCTCTGGTAACGGAGTAAAACCAGTGCCTGTGTTAGCCTCTGCATGATGGTCTAAATATGAGAACAAGTCATGGTGTTAATGGCATTAATTTGATTATGTTTTATTTATTGATTATGGTAAGACCTTACAACAATCACATGGCCCCCTATGGGCAGGAGCCTCTGCCAGAACCTGGCTCAGCAGTTCAGTGTTATGCTGCATGTTTTTCAGTAACCAAACATTTTCCTTTTGCCTAAGGATCATAAATCCTTCACCTGTAAGCGTCATTTTGAGTAATAACTGCCGTCTCTGTGTGTTTTTGTGCAGTAATGTGGATTGTGTCAAGTTGCTCCTGAGCAGTGGAGGAGACCACAACAGGAGAGATAAGTGTGGCAGGTACTTAATGTTGCTGTGTGGAGAACAGTTTTCTAAACTTTTTAAGAAACGTCAAAATAAAAAGGAAAGAAAAAAAGCAGATTGGTCTTCAAATTCTTGTGTATGGTATATTTTATTCTATTTTATTCTACTGTATATAGTATTTTATGTTATTCTATTCTGTACAGTTGTGTACTGTATTTATTCTTATTATATTCTAATTTTTGATACATAACTTTTGCACTGTCCACTTACTGCTGTGACAAAACAAATTGGGACTAATAAAGGTTATCTTATCTTATCTTATCTTATCTTTTTCCCTTTGATTGCATTTTGAATTAATCCGATTAATTAAATTAATTAATTTGAATTAGTCTTCATTTGAATTTCTCTCACTTCCCAGGACTCCACTTCACTATGCGGCTGCCAGCCGTCACTATCAGTGTCTGGAGACTCTGTTGGCATGTGGCACTGCCATAAATGCCACAGACCAGTGGGGGCGCTCCGCCCTGCACTATGCTGCTGCCTCAGATCTGGATAGAAGGTGAGCAAGCATTCAAAAACTTTACATAAAGCTGCAGCCACTTCTTTCTTTTTTCTTCTTACATGCTGAACTTGGTCAAGTTGTTGGCATTTTCAATCCAAAGTTATCTAATTATATTTATAGTCATATAATTTTTTTTTTATTTCGGTTTGATTTTGAGTTTAAGTCTAAAATGCTGTGTTGTAGACAGTTTTTTGGGGGACTATGTGACTCTCTTGTTGCTTCACTCTGTTTATTAGCTGGTCTGATCTTTATACTGAGCACACTGTGGCTTTTAAAACAGCAGAATGCTCCTTTGAGAGCCTGAGTTTGCAGCTGGATGTACTGCTAAAATAAAGCATTGACATCAAACCATCTTCACGACATCTGGTTTAAAAGTTAATTTAACATTTAAAGGAGAAGGCCAACTAGTTTAAAATGAGCACTTTGGCTAATACTGTCACGGTAACGCTGAAGAAATAAATGCACCAATACAAGCATTCAAAGACACTGCATGCATTTGTGTAGACACAGTATACGTCTGGTTACTATATTACAATGATAAATACTAATGCTGATCAGTGTATAAGCAGCATTTCACTGTTGGGTTTCCACAAGGTGGAAGACGTTATCAGAGCATCTCAGTAGATGTGTTGAGCAGAGTCCTCCACGTTTACCTCAGTCACAAAAATGAGTGGAGACAGACTGGCGCCTGGCTGGGAGCTGAGCTGAGCTCTTCACACCCCCTCCTTGGTGCATCACAAATCTGGCTAGCTGTCCTATGTTACCACATAAAGAAACCCGCTGAGCCATACCTACTGTTTCCATGGTAACCAGAGGTGATGCTGTCACTGAGTCATGCATGGTCTGCAGGTTTACGTTCAGTATTAGTTCAGTTAGCGTGTTAGCAGTGGCAGGTGATGATGCACATAGTTAAATAGGCTGTTTTGTTTTTGTTTTGTTAATGCATGTTGTATGTATGTAGTATATTGATACTTAATGTCATCCTATCTCTACGCCCATCTGATTTTTACCCTGATCCTCTGTTTGTCTCCTCCCTCATAGACGTCGTGTTGCTCTGGAGCCAGAGAGTGAAGGCGTTCAGGCAGAAAGGGAGAAGGAGGCAGCACTGTGAGTGGGAACAAAATCTACTGAAATTTGACCAAAGCTATGCACAAATCTACAATACATGCCAAAAACTGAAAGGTAGAACCGCATCTGTTTAAATGAAATTGTAAACAACAAAAACGACATTTTTGAGACATCTCCAAAAAGAGATGAAATAGACTGAATACTTAGATAAAAAAAACTGATTCACTGAAGGTAATGAATAAATGATTAGCATATAGTAGTATAGAAAATTAATAAATTCTATTACTATGTAGCCAAATGTGATTAGCTTAAAGAAATAAATCTATCAAAATCTATCAAAGTAAATAGTAATGTTAAAAAATGGAACAGGAAATATAACAGGTGATTTTCACGGTTTTCTCAAAGTTTATTAATGAAAAAAAGAAACAAAAAAGGAAAAAAAAGAAAACAAAATTGGAAAAATAAAAAATTAAAGAACAAATGGCGATAAAAGACTATAATAAAACACAAAGTCTATAGCATACATGTGTGATGTGTAACTGACATTTAGCTCCAGTCAAGACTCACCACTATACATTTAAAACATTTAAAACGGTGTTATCTTGATGTCATAAGCGTGTGTGCTTTAAGCATGTTCTCTGTCGTTCGAGCTGCCTTCTGAAATGACATGTTTGTGTTGCAGATGTTTGGAGTTCCTGCTTCAGAGCGGTGCTACGGCCTCACTGAAAGACAAACAGGGTTACAACCCTGTCCACTACGCCGCAGCCTATGGACACAGGCACTGTCTAGAACTGGTCAGTTTACACAAACGTCTGACACATAGCACACCTTAGCCCCTTACCGCAGTGTGCCCCAACCAGGGCTATTAATGGGGAAAGAGTAGCATCAGCTAGGGATAGACCGGTGGACACCGTAGCCTTTGAGAGTCACTGAAAATTTGCTTTAAATTGTCCCCGCTCTCTGCCCCCCTTTCCTAGCTCTCTCAGTCAGTCAAATCTAATAAAAACCAAAGAGCCCCGAAACAAATCTGACATAGTATTAGCTAGCTGACAGTAACAGGTAAGCTAACAGCTAGCTAAATGTAAGTTAGCTTGTTACAATTTGCCAACAAACTAATTGTCTTTGAAAAAGTAGCAGGCTAAAAACAACAAATCTACTGATTAGTTAATATAATTTGCTAAAATAATGTAACAGCTGAAGTATAAAGTATAAAAAGGTAATGGTCAGTAATGAAGTCATTTTGATTTAGGGTTGCCAACTCCCTGAGAAATAAATAAGGGACACCTCGTGGCCAGGGCCGGGCGACCCAGTTGTCTTCACCCTTCCCAGTGTGGTGAATTTTTTAGCTCTTTTTTTGTGTGTGAAATTATTTTTTTAACCATTTGACTTGAATTTGATTTAAGTAGATGCGTATTCTTTGTGATATCAACACATGGGAAACAAAAATCATTTAGCCATTTATTTTTAGCTTAAAATGACAACGTTAACACAATAAAACAGGTCTCTTTCTTAAACAGAAGCCTGTCATGCTTAACTTTTGAGAATGAAAGTAAATCTTTCTTTAAAAGAACTCTGTCCTGCTTAACTTAAAATTATATAAATTAATAGAAAACAATAGAAAGAAAAATATTCTTGTAACAGTGCACATTTAGTGCATTTAGTGCAATTGGCTTCAGTAGAGGCATTATTTCAGCTTTTGCTCCCGTTTGTAAACCCACTTGTTCCCATTATTACGCATCATAACTCATCATCATTATTCATCTATGTATTACTTTTATGTATTACTCATCTATTTGTT